AAGGTAACGTTGAGGACATGGATGCATTCAGATTGTGTTATGAAAGAAGACATCGATTTTGTAGAAGCTAAGAACTTTCATAGGACATGTAGATGAAAGTAAATACGTTTTAGAGACAGATTTTTATTTAATTAATTTATTTTATTTTTAACTTTCAACTTATTTAGCAACAACACTAATGCCCAAAGTAAAACTTAGCAACATGAGCTTCTTACTTCAGGGCAGCGGTTGCTAATGGCTGGATCTGGCATTGATCAAGCTGATCTTGCAGGTTTTCAATGCATATTAAGGCAGATGATTCTGGATTGAGGATGTATAAACATATGTTTTCCGTTCTTTATTTTTATTATTGATATTTAGTCGGTAAATATCGCCTTTTCTAAAGATTAAATCGGTATAAAAAAAATCCCCTAAATGTAATTTATTTAAGAATTTTAATTAACCAGTTTTATTAATTTCAATCTTAGCAATTTGTTAAGTAAATGTATTTAAAATTAATTTGTTTAAGTGTCTTTTAACTGTAAAGCTTTCACGATTCTGCTCACTAAAATTAACCTACATAACAATGTAGGCAAATTGATGATATTGATTAAATTATAACAAAGTTTTATTAGTGTAGCACCATTTGATCATGTCCACACCAATAGCATGTCTGATGCAATAAAGTTTATGGAAACTCGCATTTATTTTTCGCTCTTTCTTGTCTGGGCTGCCGGAAGATTTCCGCGCCCCTGCCGGGCCTCTGGAGGACGCGAAGACCGAGGAGCTGGAGCGGCCCAAGCCTCGGAGACGCAGGAAGCCGCGGGTCCTCTTCTCCCAGGCGCAGGTGTACGAGCTGGAGCGCCGCTTCAAGCAGCAGAGGTATCTGTCCGCCCCGGAGCGAGACCACCTGGCCGGGGTGCTCAAACTCACCCCGACCCAAGTGAAGATCTGGTTCCAGAACAGGAGGTACAAGTGCAAGCGACAGAGGCAGGACCAGAGCCTGGAGATGGTGTCCCTGCCGCCGCCCAGGAGGGTGTCGGTTCCGGTGCTGGTGCGGGACGGGAAGCCCTGCCTCGCCGGAGAAGCGGCCGCCTACAACCCTTCCTACAGCGTGGGCCCCATCAATCACTTCGCCTACAACAACTACCCGGCCTTCAGCAACTACACCGGGCCCGGATGCAACACAAACTACGCGTGCAGTTATCCTGCAGGCGCCATGCAGACTGTGCAGGGCTCGTCCGGCAACGGGAATTACGTGAACTTTGGGGTGGGAGACTTGAATAATGTCCAGAACACGTTTTCTCCCAGCAACGGAGTGTCCTCGCTGCACGGCATCAGGACGTGGTAACAAAATCATCCAATAGCAAAAAGTTAGTTTGAGTGGATTCTGAGACTGCATGCGGATTTCTAAAGGTGTCCACACAGAAAGGAATATTTATATAGCTCTAGCTATACCTTTTGGGTTGTTCTTGTTTCTAGCACCAGGGGTGTTTTTTTTGTTTTGTTTTGTTGTTTGTTTTGTTTTTGTTTTTGTTGTTTTTTTCCCCTAAGTAATTCAAACGTCAATTTATGGCGCACTGTGTAATTTCTGCGTAAATGATAGTAGTAATAATAATAAAAAAAAGGTTGAAACATAAGCTCACATATTCTACTTTTATTTTGATTTTCAAATTTGTCAGGACATTATTATTATTATTATTATTATTATTATTATTATTATTATTATTAATTATTATTATTATTGTAAACATATTCAAACAGTTTGCTAAATTTAGAGAAAGAAAGCCTATGGGTTGCTTCATATATTTGTTGTACAAAATTAAAAATTCTCCCCATAGGAAAGGGGAGAATCATTTCATTGATTGAAATTAAATAATTTAAATTAAATAATTTAAATTTGACATAAATGAAATGTTAACAATCATTAAATTCTAGCAGCCTTAGCTTTTAACAGACATAGAGTTTAATCAAGGAAATTGGTGCAAACGTCTATGCTTAGGATATTTTGAATGGATATTCCTGAGGAGATATTCAACAATTCCAAATTTGTTCCTCGGCAAATTGAAGGAAATTTGCGTTTTAAGATCATTTTTACTCCAGTTGATTAGCAAAGTTATGGTTTTGTACTAACTTACATACTAACCACAAAATATATTGTTTGTCCATTTGTATTTTATGAATTAAAAAGTCAATATAACCCCTATATGGCTCATATAGGATCATGAGCTCAGTTAGCTTCCACAGCAGAGTCATAAATCACACAGAACTTCAGTTTTGTTTTTAATATCTGAAATTGAGGGACATACAGATTTTGCCTGACAACATCTATGAAGTCTTGTCCGCTGAGTCAGGGTTAAGTAGTTCTGCTTGCCAGCAGGTTGTAGCGTTAGCGCCGTTGCTAAACAAATTGATTACGAGTTTAAATTCCTGCTCCGACACAGACATTTCTTTTGTTCACCACACGTCTCACAGCAATTTTTCACCTTCACTGAATCGATATGTTCATTCATAACACAGCTCTTGAAAACATGTCAGCCTTGTAGCATAACGGCTAAGCAAAACAAGATTTTCAGTCAAATTCTAGTCAAAACAAAGTAGTTAAGTGTTCAGAGATGTTAAAGTTAATCCAATGTTGCATTTACAAATTAGATTTTTGGTTAAAACTTTTAATTTTTTACTAATAAACACCCTTCAAGACTAACTTTTACACTTTGTTTTGGATATGTGCCTTGTGTTATAAGCAAACGTTAAGAACTGTCATGATTGTGGATGTGAAACTCGCCTCGACTGAGCAGGAACTCAAGTTTGAATCCAGCTTTACGTGGGTAGACCTGCTCAGCTAATGTTGTAGTCAAACTTGCCAGCAAAAGGAGCTTTGTATAAGGCTTTATATGCAAAGGAACGGCATATAAAGGTTTACGGGCCACTTGTTTGGAACACCATCTAAAAAGTACATTACGGTTTCAGTCTTATTTTCAACCTTAAGCAGAATTCTCTGATTATTTTTATGTGTGTGTTTTGTTTTTGTTTGTTTTTTTAGCACAGGATGACAACACAGATGAGCAAAATTATTTCACAATCAGTTCAAATTTATTTGACTCAACTGAGGGTCTTTTGTCTTCACAGCTCCCATACTTTTGGGTCAGAAAATATTAAAACACTTGAAGGAAATGTATGCAATTCATTTATCAAAAGACTCCCAACAATTTGCTGTCCCAATTTTCCTCGGATTTGAAATAAAATTGGTGACTTAGTGGTGACCAAGAGGGAACTTTAAATACGACCCCGGTGTGTTAATGACATTCTGACAGAATGAACTATAAACCCTCATAATGGAGATTAGTGGCCGTTAAAAACCGTGGCATGGTTCCTGTCAGGTTAAAATGTTCAAGTGGCTGTTAGAAAGCTTCAGTCATTTTTACTTAAACAAGGTGAAAAGGTTGTTAAAAGTTTATTCATTTTTACAGCCGGCTGTCAGCCGACTTCGCTCTGTACACAAACGCTTAGAGGCCGCTGGGGGCAGAGCCGGCTGCCGGCCGCGACCTTGACCCGTAATAAACCTTTGAAGACAACTTGAAATGTAAAAAATGCTCACACCGAAAAGATAAAAAAAAACAACCCTGAAATCTATATCGTCGGCGTTTCAGGTGTACTTATTTCTCGCACACACTGAGAAGTAGGTTTAAATAAAGCTTAATTTAAAATAATGAATTTGAACTGGACTCGGCAGTAGGAATGTGTGATTTATGGACTTTGGCACAAGCGTTTCTGGCCATTAATGTGTCTGCATGCAGTCAAAGCTTGACAAAAGCATCCCTTCAAAATTCAAACTTAACCAATAAATACATGAGATCACTACAGCCGTTACACCCAAAAGTGAAACTGTGCTCCTGAGAAGTAGGCTACACACGGTTTTTATTCAGTAAGGTTTTAAAAAGTGAACAATGAACTGACAGTAGACAAATTAGTCGAAAAGCAAAGTTAATCCAATTTTTTGACTGATAAAATAAACCTTTACAACTAAGTAACATTTATTGTACCAGTTGGCAAACATCTATTTGAGTAAGTCTTAAATGGGATGATTAATTAATCGACATTCTGCTTGTCTAAGGCAAGTTAAAAACTTCTCAAGTGTGTACTAAATTAGTTGGATTTTAAATCATCACGAAGGTAATTTTGCCCCTCTGGTTTATCCCGCACGCTGAAAAGAAACAAACAAACAGATGGCTTGTGATAAAATGCTAAATCACATTATTGTTTTCCCTGACAACCAGCTAGGATGAGCAGTTTTCAGGGTTAGGAAGCTAACTTTGTGAGAAAAGTTTGACTCTGGCATTAGATATGTAGCTAAGCTAGCTGGAAACAAACTTAAGTTTTTGCTGTAGCACAGAAAAAATTTTCACCACAAGTGTTAGAATAGCTTCCTTCGGTGAAAGGATCTGTTAATCCATAATACGACCCATAAAAACACAGCTGTCCACTGGCACCATGTGGATCAGAGGCAGAGCAGAAGCATCTTCAGTCCTTTTTACAGTGCAATATTAGTTTCAGGGGTTTGAAGAGCATCATCAGAAAATTAATAATACTTATTTTTAAGGGGAAATTATTCCCAAAACAATGCAAATGGATTTCTGTGCGTCACGCTTTTCATCTCAGGAAAAAGCTGCGTGTCAAACAAACGCGGAGCCGCTGAAGTTTTGGCCTCTTGTTTAGTGTGTGGGGGAAAAACCTGCTCCCCATTGTGCTCTTCAGAGACCCTGACTCGCTTGTTGAGATACAAACAAAACCACTCGATCAACAATATCTCTGTGCTAAATGGAAGAATAGTCTAATTTGCTCAACAGAGAGCACCAGGCCTCGTCTAAGTGTCCAGTTATACACGAACAGGAGAGGAGCAGGCTCAGCCCAACTGCTTCCACTTCAGATGAGAAGGAGATGCTTACGCGTCTCTCAGGTCTCTTCACACATACTCTGTCCGTCATCCTCTTTAAAACAATACACACAATTCTGCAACGCAATTCAAGCGTAAAATACAGAAGCGGTTAATGTTTATTAAAATCCGGCAAAAAATAAAAAAAATTAAAAAAATAACAAATAAAAATTATTCGTATGACAAACCAACAGGCAATGGAAAGCAGTTGCACAGAGGCTAGCAAGGTCATGTAGCTTCTCTGACCATCCTCTCCTCTGTGGTGTTGAAAAGGCGACGTCAGATAACGGCAGCGCACAAACCTAAAAATATCAACCCTCACTCATCCGCCACCCACACTGGAATAAGAGGGCAGTTGGGGGGGGACTGTCGGAATAATCTGCTTTTCCGGGTCTTATCTGAAGAAAGGCAGCGGATGAATGTGGCTCCATCTCTGCCGGTGTGAACGGCGCTGCTGCTGCTTCAGTGCAGCACATGAAACCCTGCTGGGTTTGAAGCCGGAATGAAACCTGAAACAAGTGTGATCCCTCAAAAAAAAAAGAAAAACATAAAAACATTTTGACATCTTCGTAAAATAATGGTCCGTGTCTTTTTTTCGTCAAAACGTATTTATTTTTTTCCTTGCCTAAATCGATGTTGCCAGACGTTTTTGTTTTTCCAAAAATCACTTTTGGGGAAAAAAAAAAAAGACTTACGCCATTATTATACGAAGGTGACAACATTCGACATGGCAATTCAGAAAACCAGCACAGTTTTTAGCAGTTACAAATTATACACAATAGCAATTGTACAGAACTTGGTGACGAACAGCGTTGATACAAAAAGGTTGAAGTGTTTTTGTAAGTTGCTTATGCTGAATAATAAAAACTGGCAAATTCAGCTGCACAGAAATATTAAGCTCTGGATTTGCTTCCGAAATGAACATGCATATAACTTCAGGTTACCAGTTAAAACGAATCGATTATATTACAAACTATTGCAGCTTCAGAACTTTTATCAGACTACTTATCTGATGGAGAGAGAAAAAAAAAACATGCATTTTGCTTGTGATTTGCACGGTCTTTCCACCTCTAAGATAATTTAAGATCAAAAACAATAATGATGCATAAACACATTGTAATCTAACTGGCCATCAAACCACAGATTTACATTTAAAGCACTGTTTTCTTTAGTGTGACAAACGTAAAGCTCAATAAATTAAACACCAAGAAGAACTGCAGACATGCAGGATTATCCTCCTATTTGTGAACAGAATTTTTCCAGAGCAGCTTGGAATTCACAGCGAACGTTGGCCAGCTATGGCAGGGAGATTCGTCTGAATTTGGGGGGGGATCCTCCGAAGCCTCTGGTCTATAAGAAAGGGAACAGCCTCTTTTTGAGGATGTAGAGAACCGTTGCAAAGAACAGAGCCAGCGCCAAGAAGATGAGCAGCTTGTCAGTGAGCTCCCTGCGGTTGTACTTGGTGATGAGCTTCCTGCCCAGCTGGATGGTCCCAGTCATGGCTTTGAACTCCTCGTTCGTCTCTTGAATCGTTCTCGACGAGGTTGCTTGAACCAGAAATAAAAAGAGAAGAAAAAAAAAAAGGAGTGTTTATTAAAATATTCTCTCTGAAAAGCAGAGCAGGATTACTTTTGACTTTTAACAAACCTAAGGTCGCTGCAATGTGTGCAGTGTTTGCAAAAGCACAAATCTGACGTTGGCGAAGTTCCGTGACTGACCTAGTGTTGTTATGGAGTCTTCGCTCTGCTGAACCTGCTGGGCCATCATCCGGCTGATGCTCATGAGATTCTCTGTAATGTCGCTGGCACTTTGGGCGAGGCCCTCTTTGGTCATCTTCCTTTAAAACCGAAAGCAGCTCTTTTTAAAAAAAACAAAAAAAACTGAAAAGCTACTTTCTTCTGAAGAGAAAGCTGTGGTTTTATGATGTTTAAGGACATTTTAAGACAGAGCAGCAGGCTGCCCTCTCACCTCTTCCTCACGTCGCCATCGGCTCCATTAAGCAGTGTCTGCTTCTCCATTTTGTCCATGGACAGTTTGCTGGCGAGGTTGGCTTTCCTCCAGGCCGTCTGGTTGCTGTAAACAAAAGAATGTGTCCATTGAGCAGAAATGCACTCAGAAATATGACATAGCAAAGACACGGCCGGTTATCCGATGGCGATCACCTCAGCATCTGCTTTCTGTGTCCCTCTACTTGACTGAGCAAAGCCTGCTTGTCCGACTCTCTGTCTTGTTCCATCGCCATCCGCTCAAAGTCCTGATGAAACAGCAAAGCGACACGGACATTTTGAGAAACGTGTTCTCACCAGAAGCAATGTTTTTTTGTTTTGTTTTGTTTTCTCTTGTACCAAAAATAAATGAAGAACTCACCTGAATCCTTAATCTGAGGTTGTGAAAGTGCTTTTTCACATCTGTGTTTATTTCTGTCAGCTTGCTCTGAGGGCCGTTGCACTCCGTGATGTCCTGTCGAGACAAGACGGATGAGACACACATCCAGTAATGCATCACGTTAGGCTTAAAGGGATTCACGTGTTACTCTCCCACACGCACATTTCGTAAATGTTCAAGGAAGAATGAAATCGTGAGCGCAGGACAGAATATTACTGTAAAAAAAAAAAAAAAGTCTAAAAAGAACCCGGAGGACTGAAGAATTCAACTGGTTTCCTCATGAGAGGTTAATTTTATTCTTAAAGTAAATAAAAAAAAGTTTTAAGATTCCTGAAAATAAAATAAATGTATTGGTTCAAAAAAGAAATTAAGGAAAACGCGTTTCAAAACCGCCAAGAGTTAATTGTCTGACAAACGGTACAAGAGTTTTAACAATAAAACTGAGAGAAAAGAGAAATTACATAAGTGAGCAACTGAAACAAAGGCTCTAGCCGTGATGAAATTGAAAATTATTTTTACTTTTATGAGTACGAGAAAAAAAAATTATTGAGAAAATAATGAGAAATTTTTAAACTTGACCCAGGTCTAACCACATATAGTATTACATGGACATTTATACCCCAAAAGAAACCAGAAATTTAAGATTTCTAAATAAAAAAGTAAAAGAAATATGAATAAAAATATTCTTTATTCATCCATTCGTGCAAGGATAAAACTATATACTTTTTCAAACAGAACCCAGAACTGCACTTTTTAGATCGAGATGATACGCCAGCATTAAAAAAAAAAAAACTATAATAATACAGGGATATAAAGTAAACTCATCACATTTTAGCTCCACTTTAATCCCCGTTTCCTTCACCTTTCAAAATGTCTGTTTTAAATTCTATTAAGCTATATGTGTAAATAATTAATAATCTAGCCAATAATTTATTGTCGGGATCTAAAAAGAATAGCAAAACATATATTTTCATCCCATATACTTGAAATGATGCTATTAATAATCATAATACTGCAGTAGTTCAAATATGTTTGCCTATTAATGTATTCAATAGTGCAAAAGGGAGTATTTAATTTTCCTTTGGGATTAATAAAGTATTTCTGAATTTGAACCCTCTTTGTTGTTTCTTTCTAAACTTTGAAGCACACCTCTTTGATAATGAGACATTTAATTATACAATTATGCTAAATTTACACACATAGATAATCTCCATTTTTCCCCAGATTGTATGCTGCTTACACCAATGTGAACATTTATTTTCATTGCGATTACTAATCTTCCCCCTCCGCTCCCCCTTCTCTACCTACTCTTTGCAAATATAAGAAATGCTAACAAAACGTCACCCCGTAGGACTGACGTAACCTTTCTAGAACAATTCATGACGTAGTCGGCTGACTTGGTACACATTTTTTGCACCTTTTATTTGCCATATAAAAAGTAACTACCCTAAATTCATTCAAATACAGTTTAATAGTTAAGCTGTCGACATATGCAGTCACAAAATGCTGTTAGAAGAGACTCGAGCCGTTACGTTTCTGATTTAGCATAAAGGCTAGCTGTTGTCCATGACAACCGAAAAGAGTAGCGTCCCCTAACATATCGCTCGAGGGTCTTACCAGAGGAAAATTCGCACCTGGATGAGAGCCTTGATTTCCAAGTCATATTTGAGTATTTCTTGCTCACACAATCGGACGTGGACATCTGAAGTCGCCATGTTGCCAACGTAGCCGGCTACAACTACGGCAAGCAGGAAGCTGCCCGTTTCATACAGACAGTGTGAACATCAAACACAGAATTTTTTATAGATATCTAAAAGTACCTTGTACATGTTTCAAATCTTTTTTAAAGCATTATAATAATTTTTGCTTAAGTTTTTTAGAATGCCGTTGCATATATATTCAAATAAAAAAAAGTTCTTTATGGAAATAAATTACAGAAAAAAACAAACAAACTAGGAAGTTAGAAATTCATTAAATGGGATTTAAATTTTTTTTGTATTCTTTATTAGGAAGAAAACAGAAACAAGTCAAGCGTGTGTCAACCTCAAAACAATTTAATTAAACATCATTCACACTCATATTACACACAATGTACACAACATATAAACACAACAGCAAGTGAAGGCCGTTTTAATTTAAGGTTCAGAAAAATCAAGTAATATCTCTTAAATCTTTGAAGACAATTTTAAGCAAGGCACCCAGGTCAACCTCACTAAAAACTAAAGGCACAGAGTTCTTGGTTTTCGGTGATCTGAGGAATGGTCTCCGGAAGGGCGTAGCATCGATGCTATAGAAAAACAACAGGGAACAGTTTCAGAAAGAAAAAAAACAAAGCAAAACAAACAAACAAACAAAAACCTGTTGAGCAAACATGATTTCCAAAAGGTGAGCTGATGGGGAGACATTTACCAGCAAAGTAAGGAGTTCTTGAAAGGCAAGTTAATCCCAAGCCAACTTTAGGTACTGGATGATGTCAGTGGATAGGGATGGCCCAAAGAGTGGGTTCAGTTGAGCCAGAATTGCTATCAACCAGCTGATGAAGAGCACATACAAAAAGGTAACTTGTCAGCTTCCAAATGTATTGAAAGGCATATTCTCAAAACCTCAAAATAGCCAATATATGATAAAAGGTAATTCAAGATTTACTTTACACCGAGAGCTGTTCTAGGATAAAGACAGGAAAACAACTTTGCTTCTACTGCCCTCTTCTGGTCATTTGTGTGCAACATGCCAGAAGAATAATTAATCTTTTAAATATCCCATGCATAGTTTATTGCACTGTAATAAATAAGTAAATGGAATATAAATATAAACCAGATAGACTACAGAAGTTAGGTGTCCTGTGTAAATCTATTCACATTTTGTCATGCTGCAACATGCTTCAATGTTTTTTTAATCGGGATTTTATGTGACAGACAAGAGAAAGTAGTGCATTGTTGTTAAATGAAATAAACAAAAATAAAATGCACTTAGATTTCATAAATGAAAATCTGAAAAGTTGGTCAAATATTTGTATTATCTTGTTAATTCTCACACTCTTAAATAAAATTTAGTTCAACCAACTATCTGAAGTTACCCTAGTCAATAGATCCTAAGCGAGCATAATTTATTCCCAGGTTTACTCGTGAAGACCAAAGAATACAGTCTTCGTTTGAACATTTCAGTGTCCTTTCAATCAGACATCTGAAAAATGTTTTCATTTAATCTGAGAAGCAGCCAACAGAACAGAAAATTAAATGTAATGAATAACATATAGGAGGAAGCAGAAATGCTGGATGGAAATACTCACAAGAGGTAACAGCAGACTGCAGTTAGCACCAACATTGTGACAAAAACTCTGCAAGAAAAAAAGAGAAAACGTCTTTTTTAAAATCTCGTGAGCCCAGGAGGAAAAAAGGAAGCAGCAATACACTTTTAAGAACTGCTTCCATCTTTTTGAATATATTAAATGTGGAGTATTTACAGTAGGTCTAAACGGGTTATACCTGAAGTGTACTTACGTATGGCATAATAGCTTCATCATAAACACATAGACTGTGAAATTAGCTTCACGTAGCTAGCCTAAAGTTTTACAAGAACTTCGCAAACTTATGTAACGCTTAAAAGTCAGGCCAAGAAATGAGTTTAAAATGAACCTACTTTACAAAAAAGCATTCTTACGGAAAAAGATCAAGTTGAAACTTTTAAACTTATGTAGCTTTCTTTAAGTTGGCTCGATTTAGCTAATATGGGCTAACAAACTCACCCTCTGTTCGGTCCTTTGGGGATAAACCAGGGCACAACTCCTCCAACGATTCCCCAAAACACAGTCATTACAGACATTACGATGGCAAACTGATCCGCCATTATTTAAAACCCAGGAGTGTCTAAAAAGCTGAAAACGTTAAACTTAAGCCAACTTCGGTGCTGTGTCCAAATGATATATCCTGTGACGGGGGAGCAGGCAGCAGTATCACATGACTCTGACAGAGGGAGGAAGTAGAGGCTGGCGGAGGAGCCGTCTATGTGCTGGAAAATAACCCCATTTAATATTGTGCATATTTATTTTTTAGCAGAGACTAGTCCTGGTATCCATAGCATGCGGCTTATTTTTGACGGGATAGGGGAAAAAACAACTTTTTAAGTAATAATTAAACTTGAGGAATTTGTGATTAATCTTAAAATTGTATGCTGCAGTGCACAAAACGTAGGACAGAAGTAAAACATATGTAATTTCACAGATTACGTTGGTTTTCTTAGAATAATTTGCATTGATCAACGGTAAATGAATGTAATCTCAATCAACAGGTGATTCTGTTTTGGACAATAGTGTCAGTTTTTGGAAATTCTAATAAGCATTTTGTGACACCAACTGGTGATTTTGTGAAATTACACATTTACACAAAAACTGGATTTTATTACATTTTAAGTGGATAGTGGTGCATAACCTTCAGTATTCACGTTACTTAACTTTATGCTTTAATACTTCACTAGCATGCAAGTCTTGGTTGTTTATTTGCCATTTGCCACTTCTATAGCTGTGCATCAATGTTATCAGATTTGGGCAACAGACTTAAAATGTTGCTATTCTGATTTATTATTTGCTATGTTCCTACATAATACTTTTTTGGATATAAATTGATTAAAGCATAGTCTAACAAAAAACATTTTTACACTAAAATGAAAATGTTTTAATTATGAAAAAAGTACAACACTAAATTGGTTCAGTTTCCTACAACTGTCCTGCTTAGCAGTAACCATGCTTTAAATTGTGAATTTATGATTGGGAAAACTGAAAAATAGTTCAGACAGCAAAGGAAACAACTTTCATTCGGCCTCAAGGATGTGAAAACACAGTTGTGTCTCAAAATGACTTTTGGCTTCCTCTATAATTGCCCACGTCCTAACCTGAAAGACTTAATTTTACAAAACAGACTGATTTTTAGAGGAATTAAATACTTTTATTTAATTACTCCCTAATATTTTAGAAAGCAGCCCTAACATATTTTAACTCAGAAAATATGCAAACGTGACACAATAGGTCAAAATTCAAGTTCAGATGTTCTTTCTCACAGACTTCTGTCAGCCAGAATTTAAAATGAATGTTTCACAAAATATTTTAAGCAGTTACAAATCTTGACAGGTAAATTTTGTGATGTCTTAATTTTGGGATGTTTATATGCATGTATATATGTACACATGAAACTCCAAACAAAATGAGATCCAATTATACAGTTTATTAATAGCAAAAGATCATTTTCACTCCTGCATCTTCTCGATGGTCTCCTCCTTGTATTTGCCCTTGTCCTTCCCAACAGCGCGAGACTTGGCTTTGCGCTCAAGGATCTTCTTGCGATCCTTATCGAGCTTTAGCCTAGTGATGACCACCTGGAAAAACAAAAACATGACTTGGTAAGCATTATGTCTCACTGCAAACATTAAGAGCCCTCAGAACAACAAAATATCCCTTGCTGTGTATCGTCAGCAAATATGTAATTTTGAAAGCAGAATCAACAACAATGCAAAGCTTCATTTAATAACCAGAAAGAGACAGAAATATACATAAAGATTTGGATAAAGTGCTCAAATATTTAAAGTAATGTTTCAGTGACGTCAACCTACCCCACCATACTTCTACACCGCTTTAATTCGTTTAAGCACAAAAATGTGTTTAGTCATTAACAATGTACTTTTAACTGGATGCAACTAAATGTAAAATAAACACATATTCTTTGAAGACAGAGCTTTAGATTCAGAATTACATGGAACCTAAGGTGCAACCTGTCATTTGTTATGCTTTCAAATACATTTTAAGCTTTATAAACAAACATATAAAATAACACTCAATCTGTACCCATACTGTGAACATTTTTCCACAATATAACACCAGGAAAAGGTCAAAGATGTGTAGACAAGTTTGTGAACTACTGATGGCAAGGTGTCCCTGCTGTTCTAGGACGCTTGTAGTGCAAGTTAAGTCTTGAGTTTTTTAAATTTTGAAACTGTGGTTCAACATGCAGTCCAATAACTGTTTAATTTGGATGCACTCATATTTACAAAGAATTTGAAAAACAGAAGAATTAAAACACTAATTTTAAAAGGACAGTTAAGAATATCTGGAAACTTGGGCCTTTTCACCCCTGGTTTAAACATTTAACGGAAACTTGCTAATGTTTGACAGAAGAAAGTTTTATGCAAAATATTTATGCGTAGTCAGTAGCACATTTCACTCATGTTTGTGTCATAATGACAAAGGAAACAGCTCTGATCTCCTCTGATAATCCACATATAATAAATACAGCTCTGGGTCAGTTCAGTGCCAATACAAACATGCACAAAGCTGTGCAACTTACACACAGCAGGACAAGCTGTCATGTTAACACAGCTGGCTTTTGCTAGGTGTTATGCGAATCGGTCACTGATTTATGGTTTTGAGACCGTCTATTAACAAAAAATAATCTAATAGGTTAAATAAATAAATCTAAATAAATAATCTTTATTAAGTGGATTGTATCTTATGAAATGATAAAAGTTATATATGCAATAAATAAATTAAATAATAAAAACATTAAAGGTTTTAAATGGAATAATTAAAAATTGCACTCTATCCTTCACTCAAATGCCAAGTCCACCTGATTTTTCCTTTATTTTTTCCCCCACACAGAAACGTAATAAGAGTCAAACACTAAAAGCCTTAGATTTACATGACACACTGTCAACATGTGCAACACACGGGACCCAAATTCTTGACTCAATCCCTGCCAGTAACTTCCACATAAACAGTTTTATAACACAGAAGGC